ATTACATTGACATTCATTTTTGGCATCAAAATATCAATTTTTTTTTAGTGTTCCAAAGGTAATAAGGTCTTGTCCTGGATTCCAATAACACTATTGGCTTGCAATTTTTAATTTTCAAAGTATTTCACTGAGTGTCCTATAAAGGGTTAAAGGAAATATTAAATAAAAAGGCTATTATTCCATTTTTAAACACCATGTAGACATCGCTTGATCTGAGCAGTTTGGTTCTACAAGGCAATGACCCGAAGTGTTTCTTTAAACTGTGCAGGGTGAAGCAGGGTGCTGGTGTTCTGTCCCAGCACCGTCACCAGATCTCAACTCTGTTGGGACCAGCTTGAATGAAGTGAAATTTCTTCCAATTACCTCAAACTGACAGCTAGAAGGCCAAAGGTCATCGAAGCTTTAATTGCTGCAGATGTCGGATCCTTTGATGAAAGAAAAATATTAAGGACAAAATTGTTGTGCCTCAACAACGACTTAACAGTTTTCTAATAATTTTAGCCCCCAAACTTTTGAGCAGTAGTGCAGGTTAACAGGAAAAAACGAAGCAGTGGAATTTGAGCGTTTGATCTCTGCACAAAGGATGCACAGATAATCCTGTTTGTTCAGCTGCTGTGGAGCGAAGCTGATGCTTTCAGCTTTTAAAACGTCGCTCTACTTAAGTTTAGGATGGCCTCTGCGTGTCAGGAAACAAAACCAGAATTTAAGAGTTGAACTATTCCAGCTTTCTATGTTTGTTCCCTGAAATTCATTTGCAATGTCCTCTGCTCTTGTTTTCCTTCCCAGTTGAGGGGCTGTGCGAGGGTATCAAAGCCGGGTTGGTGGATGTGGCGGTGTGGGTGGGGACCTGCGCCGATTATCCCAGGGGAGACGCTTCCACAGGCTGGAATTCTGTATCCAGGATTATCATTGAGGAACTGCCTAAATGAGAGTCATATGAAAGGGAGGAGCCGGTCTTTGTAGTGTAGGAGCAGGTTGACTGGCTGAGGCACTCATGGAGGCGCTGATGGTAATTTGAATGTTTTTGTTTTGTTTGAACACACGTCTGCTGAAGACTGTTCTGCTTTGAAGAAATGAACTCTGTACTGTAGCCTTGTGGGCTGTTAACGAATAACAGCAACCAATGTCCTTAAAATGTACTGTACGAATGATTTCTGTCAATAAAAATACATTTTTATCTGTAAAGTTTAAGTGGTAGAAGTTTGGAAAACTAGGAACTAAAAATTAGCAGTCTAGTATTTTAATTGTACCTATTCGTCCAACTCTTATTTTTTCTTATTCCTTTATCTTTCATTCATGTTTAATCATCCATTATTTAATCCATTCAGTTGTTCTTTTGCAGGTTTCATATTCAAAGCCAAATAAATCCATTCATCCATTTTCCATCACGCTTGATCCCTGCTAGGGTCGCAGGTGCCTATCTCCAGATTTCTATGCATGAGCGGCGGGGTCCACCCTGGACAGGGCACCAGTCCATCACAGGGCAACACAGAGAAAACAGGACAAACAACCATTCACTCACACCTAGGGAGAATTTAGAGAAGCCAATTAACCTAACAGTCATGTTTTTGGACTGTAGGAGGAAGCTGGAGTACCCAAAGAGAACCCACACATGCTCAGGAAGAACATGCAAACTGCATGCAGAAGTCCCCGGGTCAGGAATCGAACCCAGAACCTTCTTGCTGCAAGGCAGCAACCTAATAAATATGGGCTGTAAATCCATTGTAAACATTTCTGCCCTAAACTGTTTATCCAGTCACATATAGGCTTGATAATTTCTTAAAATTAAGCAAATAAAGTGAGCCTCAAATTTTTCGACACAGGCAAGAAACTCCAGGCGGTTGTGGAGGCGTAGGATCAGAGAGTGCATCAATGATTGAATACTAAATTTGTCTATTGAAAATCCAATACCAAAAACAGCCAGAAGATGGCAAAAGTGCATCTTTATCTACCACTTGCATGAGCCACATTTCTTTTGATATCCAGTTTTGCAGCTAATCGCTGTGTTCGGCGAGGAAAGCACAAACCCTTATTTTTAAGTCACATACACGGTCAGTTGATGCTGATACGTCAGCTGTTGCCGTAGCTCCCGGGAAAACGTGTAGTGTGCAGGCCCGCATGAACAGCAGCTTTATGACTAGGGTTTAACTCATGTTTGCGTAGCATCTTTTTGCCGCTGGATGCGTAAATAAGCTTCCTGGAGCACAGCGTGCAGAAGAGAGCGTCTGGTTCACCTAACTTCAGAGATGGGAAGTAACGAAGTACAAATGCTTCGTTACTGTACTCAAGTAGATTTTTCTGATATTTTTACTTTACTTTACTCCTTATTTTTATGGCGACTTTTTACTTCTACTCCTTACATTTTCACACAAATATCTGTACTTTCTACTCCTTACATTTTAAAAAATTGGCTTGTTACTTTAGTTTTGAATCATTTCAATGGAGTTACAGTTATTATTTTTCACGTCATCAATACCAAATTCAATCTAATTGGATGGGAATCTACGTTGCATTTGACGCACCACTACAAGATGAATCGACAGATTCGGCGGTATTCATTCGCGGTAAATCATTGCAGCTTGGTGGCGGTGGTGTTAGCATAGTAGCATGGACGACGAGATGATTGAAAATGAACACAGCGGAGATCTAGTCCTATTGGCAGACATCCATTTAAAATGTAGGCAACGGCATGAAAAAAGTGGTTTCTACTTTTACTTTTATACTTTAAGTAAATTTACAAGCCTGTACTTTGTTACTTTTACTTGAGTAAAGAAGTTTAATCAGTACTTCAACTTTTACCAGAGTATTATTTAACACAAGTATCTGTACTTTTACTCAAGTACGGAAAGTGAGTACTTTTGCCATCTCTGCCTAACTTCCTGCACCAGCTGCTAAATGGCTTGCCATCTCTCCCTGTCTCCTCCAGCCATGCCCAGCGCCATTTATTTTTGAGACCTTCATCTATGGTCGTAACATCTTCCCCAGAGTTCTTGAACTGCATTGTGCACACTCCATGAAATTCGTTCTCTGTGTCATCCTTCTCTGCGAAGTTTCATTTATGTATTTTTTGACTTTTTAAAGATCTCCATTGAACGTGTAGAACTTCAGCACTGTACCACAATCTGGCGACTTGAGCAAAAACGAGAGCCACCTTCTTCTGATTGGCTAATACTGTTAGTTTCAGCGCACTCCTTTACCACCATTGGCTAAAAAAGGATTTCTATTAGAAAGGGATTTCTAATCTTTTTTTTTTAATTTATTTACTGTCAATTTATTTTCAAGAGATTGTTTTTACCTACGAGCAATCGTTACGAGCTGCAAATCTGGCCTGGGGCCGGAATACTTTAATCCCTGTGGAAATTTGACCTGAGAAGTTTTGAGGAAACAAGGAGTAATAGACAAGAATTAGAATGGGTCAAAATAACACATTTTAATGTGTTCACAAAGCGTCATGGAACTAAACTTTTGCAGTTTGTCTTATCAGAACAAATGATGACTTTATAGAGAAGCGTTTTAACTTAAAAAAAGGCATAAAACTGGAGACCTGAGACGACCTTGATGCTGATCATCAAGCTTTAAATGTCTGTTGTTTTTCATCTTTCATTGTAAACAACTTACTCTGTGGTAAAACTCCTAACCACCCCCCCCATTAGGTTCTGGTAACCTCTGCTTTAAGAAAAACAGTCACATTTTCAGAGCAGCAGCAGCATCACTTCCATAGAGGCCACCTGAAACAAAACCTCCATTTGATCTAACTGTGCGTTTTACTCAGAGACTTGTTCATAACGCGTCACTGAGTGAAAACCTGAAATGAAACTGAAATAAAAACTAATCCAGCCATTAGTCGCTCTGCTTCTTCTTTTTTCCTCACTTCTCCACGTGCTGAAGAGGGCGCCTCAGACCGAACACAGTCCCCTCTTTGTCTTCACGTGGCTCCAGCAGGGGCCTGAGGCACGTGTGGCTGTCCACCCTGGCCTCCGAGTCTCATTCATTTAGTCCCGAGAAGGTAGCGGGAAACGTTTTCATAAACCACGAAAGTGATGCAGCAGGCTGGGGTGACGCGGATTAGATTGGGGATGATGCCTTTGTAGAAGCCCATAACTCCTTCATTTCTGCAGAGAGAAAAATAAACATTAAAACGATCCCAGAGAGGTGCGTGGCGGTTTGCAGACCAGCGTCGTACCTCCACGTCCGTCTGACCACATCGCCAACGCCGCTGTATCTGTTGTGCTGGTCTTGCAGACGAGCTCTCACCACCTGATAGGGGTACGTTGTGGCTACAGCGAATATTTTGGATAGAGCTGCCATTGTGATGTACTCCAGAGGATTCTGGGAATAAAATCAAGAGACACAAAGAGGTAGTAGATATGTGGAGTCAATTTAGTTCCATTATTCAATTCTATTTAGTTTATTTCTATAGCGCCAATTAACAACACATGTCATCTTAAGGCACTTAACAGTTCAATCAGATCATCCAGTCAAATTGATTCAAAGTTTTCTATCTAAGGAAAACCAGTTGATTGCATCGACTCATTGACTCGAATGCAATCCTTTACACTAAGCATGCTTGTAGCGACAGTGGATTATTGCTGAAAGCAAAGCTTATGTAAATGAACTTTTGAAAAAAATAAAATAAATGTAAAAAACATGATTAATAAGTGGAAAAAAAAAAGAAAATTTAAACTTAGAAAGGAAACTGAACATTTTCTAAACAAAATAAGGCTTTGATACCAACTTTTCTGGTTTCTTGGATTATATTTTTTCAAGTTTCTTTTTTTTGCAGATATATTTTTTCTAAATTTTTCATATTTTATAAAAATAAATGTTATATTTTCAACATTTTAATTATTTTTTGTTTCCATTTTTTTTAGATCCGACTTTTATGAACTGCATTCTTTTAAAATTGTGTTTTTTTCTGATCAAGTTCTCTTCGAATCACACTCAATGAAAATGTTGTTGCCAACGCCCAGCGGCCCCATAGCAACGCACCTTCTTCCCTCACTCCAGAGGAAAGCCAGAAAGGAAGTGACTGATCTGTGAAACATATTTGAAAAGAATGCTATACGATAAACATATATCTGAAAAAGAATAATTAGACTTTTTTTTTTTAAACCATCCACTGTATATATCTGAATAGAATTAGGAAAATTAGGAAATATAAAACCTTTAAAAAAATTTTAAGATAAAATTGAGAAAAAATACTGTTACTCTCAAAACCTTTTTTTAAAACCAAGAAATATTTCAAATAACTCTTCTTTTTGTCCAAATTTCCATCAGCAAACAGTCCCACTCCAGTCCATAGAGTTATTGACTCATTGAAAGGAGTTTTTATTTTTCCACATTAAAAGGTCTCAACTCACCAACTTTGCATCAGAGGAAGCTCTCCTATATTTGTTGTAGTCTCTCTTCAGCTCTTCGTAGGCCATGAACTGCAGAGCACCATGAGACGTACCAAACAGACCAGGAACGTAACCCTGTTCAGCAGATTATGGGATGTCAGTTTATCTGGGATTCACCAACTGCTTTAAGTCCCTTAAATAACATTTCACCACAAAAACTTATAATAACTTATTTGTAACAAAGAAGCTAAATTACTATTTAAATTAATCCTATTAGTGAAAAGGAGCAATGACACCCCCTGGTGGTGATTGCCATTCACTGCAGAGAAAGTAATTCAAGTGATTTTGTGCAAAAAAAAAACAACAAAAACAAACAAGAAAAAAAACAGATTTTTCAACAACAACAAAAACAAAATATACGCCGACTGAATGTGTCACACATTTCTGAAATACAACATTACACTGATGTCTGACCCTGTAAAGTCCTGGAATCCCCTCGTGGCGGTAGATCTTCACCAGGGCGTCTACCATCCCTCTATACTGCTTGCTAGTCGGGTCGGCGCTGTACTGCAGGACCAGTCGGGTCTTAGTAACCCAGATTGGGTTGGTTATGGTGAGCGTTAAGATGCCTGAGGAGAGAAAACACAAAAAAAGAGAGTCTTATTTTTAAAAAGAGAGGCAGTAAAGGTTACTACAAGGTTTCTGCAGGTTTCTCTACAGCTGGTGGACTTAATATATGAAGCATGGAAAAAGCAAAACTTAAACTAGAAGGAAGAGAAGCAGGTAGGAAGGAATAGGAGCCAATTTTGGTGCTTTACTTTTCTGTTCTTTTTCTATTGTCCCCTTTTTACCAAAGTTTGGTGCGTCAGGATTTCATTACCCAGGTTATTTTTTTTTTTGCAAAAATATTTCCTCGCTTGTACTAATCAGCTTAGAAGAGCTTGCAAAAAAATAAAATAGGAAAAAAAAAAAATAATTACCTGCCATAAACTCAGAGAATTATAGCTAAGTCATTGTAACATTTTGTCACTCTTTGCTACAGAACTCTGTTGTTTTGAAGAAGAAATATGTTGATTTACAGTCATCTTCTGCATTTCATGTAATTCAATAGTGAAAAAGGTACTAAGACCTTATAAGAATAATTATCAATACTATGCCAAACAAACAAATAAATGGATATTCCTACTAGTAGTGATGGGTCCAGCAGTACCAATGTCAGGTGACCGATACAGGAGTTGTTTCTAACTGACTGACTCACTAAACTGTCTTTAAAAACGTATCTATCAACATGGTGCATCTGCTGAAAAATTGTCTCATCTTTTGTGGTTTATCTTTAAAATGATCAAGAATTTTGGAGCAGCCTAAAAAGAATACAAACGTTTCAGCTTTTTCAGTTTCCTCGTTGTGTTATACTTTTCCTCTCAGTTATCACTCAACTTATCTGAATAAAAGTTCCTTTCAAATTGACTCTCTAGTCTATTTACTGTTTTTAAAATCCTAGTCCACAAGCATCCTCATTCCCATTTTTCCCTAGATTTTCACATTATACGTTTACATTATTTATTGGCTGCATCAAAAAATAGCAAATATATTTTCACTTTAAACATAGATATGAAATAATACCATATAACCTACAATACCTTAAATTATATCATTGTACCAGGTCATTTCTATATTTGATATGAGGGATCAAGTGATTCACTGAGCAGCGGGTTTGTAGGATAAACATATTTCAATAGAAAATGCATGTAATAAAATACCCCTGAGCTGAAGTAGAGTCTTTGCTTTCTGTTGCAGATCAGATAAAGACTTCTGTGGAGCTTCTTGTTTATAAATAACCGGTGAAGACCTTTGTTTTTAAAGCCCCCATGTTTATTCTATCCACAAATAACAGATGCGTAACCTCCGGGGAACACTGGATGAGCAGAAGCCATCCGCCCCATATTAGCTGCATCCAGTTCTGAGCAGTTTCACCTAGCTGCTGTTGGCCTTGTGCTGATTATGGAAGTGTGCTTGCAGGAGTCAGAACTGACCAGCTTCAGCCGCTGATACCAGATGCTCTGCTGGGCTTAGTTCCTCCTGACGCCCTTCCTTCGTGTAGCCTTTGATTGCATTGTAGCTGCAGGAGGAAGACAGGGAATAAAAGGAAGCCAAATGTCAACAGATCGATGTGAATGTCACTGTTCTGGTGAAAACATCATCATGCTGGTTGACATACAAGAAGAAGTAGAGACCCCAGGATGCACCAGCGCCCCAAATGTTAGGGGTCACCCCTTGGTAGAGACCCCTCAATCCCTCCTGATGCCACACACTCCTCATACAGTGCATTATACCACTGTATTTGGGTCTCAGCTCCAGTCCATCACTAACTGTGGAAGAAAATACATTCAAATTACCTCATTATTTTTAAAAAATATAATAAAACATCTAAGGGAGGCTGGATTATTTCTTGACAACAGGTTTTGGATACCTGCAAACCTGATCTTCACCAGGTCCAGTGGGTGAAGGACCATGGTGGACACCACTCCGCCGCTCAGTCCTGCCACCAGGTTTTCTATTTTAACATGACTGAAGACCTGCTGGACATGTCCACCTATAGAGACATGTTTGCTGGGCAGTCCTGCTGTCTCTGTAACGTTACCGTGATTCGGTGCGGAGCTCATGTCCTCAGAAAGGCAACAAACTCTTAGCTAGCTTCCCGGCAGCTAGCTGGGCTAAAAAACAACCAAATAAGCGTGAAACTGAAGCAACCGGCGGACTTTTAAATACGGAACAAAGGCGAGATAAAACCCCTCATAACTACTACAGGTCAGCGACTGAACCGCGTTTCAAGCATGAGGTAAAGCTACACAGCTGCGCCATGGTTAAATGTCAAAAAGCGCTCCCCCACAGCGACCTTGTTAAGATCCTGTTAGATAAGCTAAGCTAGCTTGTGCCGAGTTCTACTTCCGGTATGGACTTTCAAAATAATTCAGGTCCTGCTGGTATAAAATAAAATGTCATTTACCTTAATATTGTTTACATAAAATTATACACAGTCAAAAATTAATTTTCACAATTAAATATATGTTTTTTTTATATTTGAAAATATATTAGCCCCTTGCCTCTGTCATCAAGCCACCTACAACAACATTAAACATGTCTAATAATAATAATAATAATAATAATAATAATAATAATAATAATAATAATAATAATAATAATAATAATAATAATAATAATAATAATAATAATAATAATAATTTATCTGGCTAAACCTTGTAATACTGTTGATACTTAATACACATTGTTAAGCAGGGGTGGATCCCTTTTGATAATGCCATCATGTAGAATGTGCTACTTTTACATTTTTAAAAGTTATTATATTAACCAAAATTAACAAAAATACATCCATCCATTTTCCGTCACGCTTATCCCAAGCGGGTTTGCGAGGGCTGCTGATGCCTGTCTCCAGCTGTCCGGTGAGCACCCCTAAGGAGAATTTACAGAAGCCAATTAACCTAACTGTCATGTTTTTGGACGGTGGGAGGAAGCCGGAGTACCCGGAGAGAACCTACGTTTGCAAAAGGAGAACATGCAAACTCCATGCAGAAAGACCCGGGCCGGGAAACAAACCAGGAACCTTCTTGCTGCAAGGCAGCAGTGCTACCTACTGTGCTACTAAGCAGCCGACAAAAATACAACAATCAATTATTTACTACAATATATCACAATAAAGAGGACTAATACAGAATTATTAACACTTTTATGAATTGTATCTGCAATCATTAAGAGGTTTTCTATTTAATTAACGATAAAAAATCAACAGCTCAAGCCATTGTAATGTATATATTATGTAAATTAATTTAAACATTAGCAAGAGCCTCATGGAAATCTGCTCCATCTTCAGTGATTTATTTGGAAAATATAGATATAGGTTGATTGTGATCAGTATAGGTTTACCCTCAACTGATTGATTGGCTTTATTGATCTCACAGTGGAGAAATGTACTCATACTGGTACAGGACTGGTTTCAGTGGCCATTATTTTCGGGCCACCCTTTGGTGCATCCCTGTTTGGCCATCCCTGAGAAATTTCCTGCAATCACCACCAATTGTTTTTCCGCCTTACGCAACATGACACAAAAGTATCATTCTAGTAATTTAATCAAACTTGGCAGCTCTGCTCATTTAAATATTTTGGCATCTCGAAATCAGCAATGCAGATTTAAATAAAGTAAAAATAAAATAAAATCT